AACCTGCATTGAAATTAAAATTAATACTTTAACAATTCTGTTTTGCAGTGTTAGTCAGTAAGTGACTGGCTGCTCCAGTATGGGATTAGAACGATGCCACTTTATCCCATAGTCCAGCCAATGATGCGATTCACATTCGTATACGCAGCTAATCAACGTCGTTGACAGGCTATGACAGCGTCCTTATGTGCCGACACCAGTGTTTTAGCTAGCAAAGCGGCGTGGCTGATGTGGAGTGAAGCCACGTTAATGACAACGTGTACAACCATCGGAGATGTGAGCAGGACAGACGGAACAACTGACGGAAAAAGTGTGGACTTTATACCAGTTTTTAAATTGTGTTGATTGGCCACGTAAAACCAGAGTTGTGATAAAAAAAAAAAATGCAATGTTTGGTTTTCTTCTGCTGTCGTTGTTTATATTTACTGCGGGAATAAACGGTAAAAACAGCGTTTTATAAGAAAAAAGGCTCGAAAGCCTGTGAGCAAAAACAAACTCCACCCCCCTCTCCCTTTCCTATTCGTCCAAAAAAGTACCATGTCGACCAATCAAAAAATGATATGGCAACGTGGCATCTAGTTGTTAAGAAACGGGGGGAAGTTTTAGGAGTGACGGCGGTGTTTTGAGATGTGAGAGATTTGAGACGTTTAGCGCAAATCTTGTGTAGTTAGTGTGTAGTGTAGTTTTGTTGTGTGTGTCAGAACAATGAGGCGACTGCTGAATGTTACAGGTGTTACAGGAGTGATACATCTCCTGTTGTCAGGCCTGCAGGTATCAGGCTGTTGTTCTCCTTTATCTCATAGTGGACAGAAATTTTTTTTGGAGTGGCACAAATAATTTGTGTGGCATCAATTTGATGCAGAACAGCTGATTGTTCTGTAAATAGTTTGAAATGTTTATTTAAACCTTGGCAGCATTTAAAAAAAAAAAAAAAAAATAGCTGCAAAAATTTTGTTTGCCAAACTCAGTTACTTTTTTGAAGAAGTAACTATATAATTAATTGCCCAACATTGGTCATTATATACTGTATTTTGCAAGACGCAGACTCTACTCAAGTGTTAACATACTACACAGGTCATGAACAAGATTTTTTTAAAGATTTTCATTGTAAGTGGGCTAAAGCAGTTAATTAAAAGTAGTCTAACATAAATGTAAATGCTGTAATTTGATTATTTTAATAAACCATGTAACTTGGATGTATTAGATGCTGGCGTGACCACAGTGCACACGTCTGATGTCGCTCACAGTGGTCCAAGGGATCGCTCAGGGAGTTTGTGTGTTTGCTCAGACGCATGAAAAATTAGAGGGAACATTGGTAGTGGGTAACCATGCATCATTAACAGCCCCACGCAGGAAGGGTTTTGTTAAGATAATGCAGATTTTTGTAGACTTGGTTTTAGCACTAGCCTCATTGCAGCAACATATGTCAAAGTAATCCATTGAGGTCATAACAGTTTTTTTCTTAGCTCAGCTTTCCCCTTTAAGGATGATAGCATTGTAGATAACTCATGTGACTGTGACATTATTCTCTACCAGAAAGGTTCTAACAGTTGGTTAGTGTTATGGTTTCTTTCTAAATGTAACCAAGTGGTTTTGTTGCCTGTAAGTTACAAACCTGTGAAAGAAAAGGAAAAATTATAATAAAAAAGAAGTCCTGATCATGTTATGTCAACACTGATTTTTGGTCTCACTTGCAATATAAACCTCAGTCTCCTGGGTGAATATCCTGCATTTGATCCATATGTCACACACTCCACTTCCTAATGGCTTCACCCAACTTTCTAAAGCCTATATGACAGTTAATTGATACATTTAGCATAATCTACGGAAACTAAACTCTAGCAGCCAGAAAAACAACACGATTGCTGTTGTTTTTAATTAAATCCTTAGATATCTGTGGGACAGGAAAGTAGGTTTACTGGGTGAAAGTTAGATTTGAATTCACACCAAATGATATAAAGCCTCTAAGTCAGGTCATTTTGTTTAAATGATGTCTTTTCTCCCCCTCCAGATTGTACAGGAAACCCCGTTTCATTGTTGACAACAAATTTAGTCACATCATTTTTGAGGAGATTGATGCTTTTCATCCTTGAGTTACATTTTTTTATTGTTATTTTTGCCAACATATGAAGCAATAGGAAATGGATCACCTAACTTGTGGTATGCTCTTGTGAGTAAAAAGACCACAATGATATGACATAGATAAACAAAATATCCATTTGTTATTTAAAAGCTGTTTCGCAATCGTGTAAACTTTAACGCTCTGTAGATCTAAGTAATTACATCACACACAGAGTTAATATAGCACATTGTGCGTATGCGTGAACTGTGTAGCTCTACATCATCCTTACATTTCCTTGCAGATGGGAATCTTTTTCTGTTAGTCACTCCATAGTCATGCTATTGTGGTGCTTGGCATACTACTATATGTATTTGTTTTTAGGTGTACTAGTAAATGTATTGGAATAATTCGCTATGCTGCATGGCCTGACGCTGAGGTGATGTTACTCTGTTGCTATTGCATGTCCTTCATTCCACTTTGACACAATCCAGACATAAAGCAAAGACACACACAGACATCTGACATGCATTCTCACAGGGGAGGTTGTGCTAAATGACAGGGGCAAACTATAACCTCCAGTTAGTGTCTGTGAAAACAGGCACTGACAAACAAGAATCCACTATGTTTCCAACTCCAAGAAAAGCTTTGTTTGTGCCTCTGCTCCTTTGAAAGGATCTATCTTGAATTTACAGAACTTAGATTACACTTGCTCAGTTGTTTATGCCAGGCTTCTACAAGAAGCAGCTTATAAACAGTGCAAGCTTAGGTGGGTTTGCATTTCCCAGGGACTCACCGAAACACACAAACCTACTCATACTCCCCACAGTTTACCGGAACTGAGTCAGGGACATTGGGCGGTCAGAGGCTGTAAATTAGGAATTCCACATTTGAACCACACGACTCAGCTATTAGTGCTTCGTGGAGCGTGAACTTGTATGCCTTTGCTCTTGAAAGGCTCCTCCCAGTTAGTGAGTCTGCTTCTCTTTTACATGCAACTCTCTTTGGATTCTGTTTATTTTTCCAGACTTTCAACCAATCATATCTTTATTTAGCTTTAATTAGATTACTGAAAAGTGCTTGTGAAAATGTGTTAGATCATGGTTTTTCAGCCTCCAGAGACAGTATATCTTAAGGTTTAGCTGTCATTGCAGTAGACATTATAAGAGGGTGTGGAGTTCGGCAGAGAGTAGTCTGGTATGAAGATGAATGAGCTCAAAGAGTGATGCACTTACCAGCTCGCATGATGAAACAAAGAAAAGTCACAGACCCTTGATGTACAGGAGTAATAACAGGATGCTCTCCAAAACCATCAGTTTCCTTATCTTCTTATCCTGATAAATGAAAAGCAGGTTTCTGCTTTTTAGGTTGCCTCATAATTTCTTTAGGATAATAGGGCTAGCAGGCTAGTGTGCAGTCATGCACTGTAGCTTTTTGCTTTTAGTTAATTTAGAGGAAACAGACCATTTCTCCACCCCCTCCAGGGACCAATCTTTTGGTTTAAGAGAAATAATGATTTCAGTCAACCAAGATTTTGCTTGGTTGAGTACAGCCCTTGTGACCAACTGGAAAAAGCAATTCCAGATGATATAAAAATGTAACATATTATTGCTTAATATTCCCCCCAAAATGGTGCAACTATACAAATCATCATCGAGCTGCAGGAATCTCACATTTAATGGCTGGGAAAATACAGACAAACTAATAGCCATGCAGGTCACTGTTCACAGCACATTACACATGCAAAAAAGACTAGAGACATGATGACAACTGTTCACTTTGCATCATGATTTTTGCTATAAAAGACTTTTTTTTTTGCTCTGCAGCCTGCCAGATGACAGCGACTTGTTTTACTGCGGAGGAAATAAGCTGCAGTTTCTTCTTATTAATGTCAGACAAAACCATATGATCAGTCAGAGGCACATGTTTGTGTATGTGTAATAACGCAAAATTGATATCACATGTGACTGCCCTCCCCCTTACTCTCCGTTGGGGCTCAAATATCCACTGGCCAGGAGAGTTTTTCGGAAAGAGAGATCACAGAGAAGAACCTGCTCTCTCTAACTCTTGAAAGAAAATCCACATTAAAGAGGTGGGGACATGCTGTGCAGAAATAAAAAAGACAAAAGGAAATGCATTAATTATATAAAGAACTTATTGCACAGATGCCTGGAAACGAGTCTAACATTACACAGATACATTGTTGTTCAAGGTTCATGTGCATGCCTGGTTCAAAAGTAACATACTCCCCAGACTTGAAACATCACTGTTTCAACTTGAGCTGATTATAAAATTACACATGCATAGCCTCAGTGAGGTATTGGAAATTTCTTTCTTTTTTTTTTTCTTTTTTTTGTGGCAAAAGCTACAACCATTAGGTTAGTTAATGTAGCATACACCGAATTATCTGCTTATTGGCCTGCTGTTTAACCATTCTACACATATGAAAAAAGGGGGAATAAAGAACCAAATCAAATACTCTTAGCCATTTGTTTCATCTTGTGCACATAGATGGTTATATTGCATGGATGGTGCTACATAACTGGAGTTCATTAAATTCCCCCAACCCACACACACGGCTTAGCAACTTTTCTGATGAAAACCCCTGATATGGATTTACTGAATTTGAAAAGACCGGGTATATAAAGTGTTACCCTTCCTTCCAGGTATTTCACCACCTTTAAAAGTGAGAAGACGATTCACCTGTGTCATTGTTGAAGGCTTTTGACAGTGTAAACCTGGAGTGCTGCCCCAGGTGCTGTGACATAAATCAAAGACGGGCTTCTCTGTGTTGACGCTCCCAGGCTAATTCTCTTTTTCTTTTTCTCACCAACATTTTGAAACCACTTATAATGGCTCTTTATTTTCTCTTTTCTTTTCTTGGGTGTGCTTGGATTGTTGTGTGTGTCTGTGCATATCTGGTATGTGTGAATATTGTTAGGTGACACCTGGCAGCAAGGCAGCCCAAGGTGACCTGTGTCCAGGCGACACCATTCTGGCTATCAACGGTGACGCGACAGAACACATGACTCACATGGAGGCTCAGAACAAGATCAAAACCTGCACTCAGCAGCTTACGCTCAGCATCAGCAGGTATGGAAACATGAGACTACCCTCACCGGAAAACTGGTGTGTTTAAACCATAAATTGACCTGTAATCACACTCTTTCAGTTGAGGGAATGGTTATATTTAGCGCCGCAAAACATTGCAGAAAAGAAAAGAAAGCGAATCTTTGAAGAAACACTATGTACACAGCTGTTGTACCAGCTGAATAGTAGCTTACTATTAGCCAGCTAGCTGTGTGGCATCTGTGAGTTGTGTTCATGTGACACACTGTAGATTAAGCATATTTTCCATGAAGGGTGACCTCACTGGAATTTTAAGGTTCAGAATAATTGGATATCAGGAAATGGTGAGCTTTCTAATCAGTCGTCAGCTTATGAGTTTTGCTCTGAGGCTCATTAAGAAAATTGAGTTGAAAACCTTGACAGATTTTTTTTGTATGACTCAGGTCATTTATTGCCTCTCATCCAGAAAAACATGTTGGTGATTCGTCTGTTCTGCCTGGCACCGTCGAGTTACAGTGACAAGTGACGGGTTTACAAGAGTTAAAATGATATAGTCACTTCACCTAGAAAGCGCTGTCAAAATCAATGAGGCTTGTACATACAGTGACTCAAACTGTGACCTTTTCAAATGGTATTCTCGGGTCGATATTGTGCATTGGTGCGCTTCATGAGTTGGAAAATGATCATCGTTTTCGACCTGGTATGTGAAGATGTATGAACTGACCTCAAGTGAAGGTCAGGAACAACAAGTTTCTGTCAGCATAGCAGAAAAAAGATCATCCATCTAAACATTTAATGAAGGAGTGGGGTGGGAGACGGGTAGGTCAGGGGTGGTTGGAGGTTAAAACCAAGGAAAATCTGAAATGTCAGTCACTTCCCACATTTCTGTTAGATGGTTGCTTTGGGTTGCCAGAGTACTGGAAAGTGCAGAGCGAATCTGGCAATCTCTAAATCCCATCCCCTCAGATGGAGAACACTGTGTGGTTTCAGCCTCAGTTACAAGTGACAACTGCCAACTGGTGCTTCAGCGTTCTCCTTTTAGGGCAGAAGACAACGCAGTCTCTCTCCCTCTCTTTCCCTTTGTCTGGTTAGAAACATGATGGTTACTCGCAGATTGGAGTGTGAACAAGAATTATTTCTGAAGTAGTAAGACCCATCAGATCAAAAAAGACACAAAGGAACTCTAAATTCAGATTTTTTTTGTTCTGTTTCTGTATTTGTGTTTTACAGTATCCACTCTAGCATAACAACTCCTCCACCCCCACAGCCTGTAGTAGGAACCATCTACCCATATATCAAGCTGAGCAACTGAGCGTTAAGTGGTTTGTCCACAAAGGGATTGTAAATTTATTTGAGGATACATGAAATAGCATACTGCACAAAGACTAACAGAGATCATCTGTAGGTGTGGGAGCAAAAACAGGCCACTCTCGCTGTTTTACTGGCACCCTAATGTTCCTAAATTCAGCTTAAACTTGCCCTAAAGTAGCCAAACGTGTTTAACAAATTAAGGAAGTAAGAAGTAATTTAGTCATTTAGCTTGATAAACAGCAGGAGCATTTGAGAGTGATGACTGAGACCCAGCATAAGGAAGAATAGATTCTATTAGTTGAATCTTTGCCTCATGCTCCTTCTTTTTTCTGTTTGTTTTACCACATTGGCCCAGCTACAGGATGTTTACAGTGGCTATCAAATTTTAGGTGTCATTTTTTTTTTGTGGCAGTAAATAAGAGGATTTTTTTTTTTTTTTTGTTGTACACATTCCCAATGTTTTGTAGAATGCATTTAGCCATAATTTAAATAGGTGTAGTGCTTAAACATTGTAATGGGTTGGATTGAGGTTAAAATTATTTGAAATGAATGTGTCGCATTGTCGTTTTAAGAATATCAGAATCAATTTAACTTAAATTCAGTTTAGTTTTGTAGCTCTATTATAAAAGCAAAAGGTTTGAGCTACAAGATTTTTTTTTTGTTTGTTGACTGTTTTTAACTAACTTACTTTTAAACTAAACCCACAAGTGAACCACAAGATACAGCCATGTTTGCTCATCATTCCTCCTTAATACCCCTTTGAACTGATAAGATAGCATTTGGACTCAGAGCAATATAATAAGAGGCTGGACGAGACTAGCTGCTGGAATGTGACCTTTGTGCTGTTATTGGTTAAATAATTACAATGTAAGCTGCACTTTGGTGAACAGGAGGAGGGCAAAGCAAGTATGAGAGATAGGCATGCACCCTTGGCTGCGGTGCACAGAGCTGAAATGAGCTGCTGGTGAAGTGGAGGCATTAGGGGTTCCAGCAGAAGAACAAATACTGTAAAAAAATCATGTGAAAGTTTAGGATTGTGAGATAGAGACTTGATAAGAGACGAGAAGCGGTGTTAAAAGTTAAGATTGCTGGAAAAGATAGTGAGAATTTGAAAAACAGAAAGAGACGGTGCAACAATAAGCTTGGAGGTTAAAGCCAAAAAGAAGAGCAGTGAATCAGTGAGAACAAGAGAGAACTGCCTCTACGCTTCCAAGGATGCTGTTTGACAACCAGTACTTTTTGCTTCATGTATTTCTGGTAAACGCAGTTTAAACGCAGTTTAGCTCAGAGAACCTAAAACCAGAATTATACTTCCGATTTTTTTTTCTTTTGTTCTTTTCATCTGAGAGAATGACACTGCAATCAGTTATTTAGTTGGCAATTCTTTTTTTTTTCTTTATTTTTATCTTTATCTGAAAGCTGTCATTTCCCACCATGCATTTCTCTACTGGTAGGTTAAAAAGGTGGCTCTTGTGGTGGTCCACAATATCATTCAACTGCTTCATGAAGCTGCAGTTTCAATACAAGATGAGGGGCTCATTGGAGAGGTAGCTGATTATTACGTTATTCATTTCCCTCAAAGTAGACCTATAATTGCATGAATTATTCATGTGTGCTGAGCTTGTGCATCACCACTGTTTCCCATGAAAAATTTTGTAAGAGGCGTCATGTTAATAAGCAGCATCTGTCACTATGGCAACAAACAAAATAGCGCTGTCTTTAAAAAAAAAATAAACAAAAAAAAAATTAAAAAAAATCAACAGGCAAAAATGAGAGATTTTGCCAAAACTACTAAGAAACCAATCAAAGTAAACAATACAGAACAAATCACAAATATTGGACTGAAAAAATTCCCAGATTTAGTGAGCTATAAAAATCAGCCACATGGTAGCCTGTTCTCTGGCTGGTGAAGAAGGTTAAAGTGGTTAGTCAAAATGTATCCTTCAATGGGGGTGTAATGTTCATATGTAAAAGATGTCTGTCATTTATTGCAAGAGATTTGAAATATGGACCTTTTCTGTTTATTGGAAACACTCCTCAGTTGTGGGCTACAGAAATAACTAGGGATTATTTAATTGTAACCATTCATTTTGGAGTCAATAGCTGCAAATGGGAGTGACTCAAAGAACCCATGCTGACTCACTAGAAAATAATATTTTAGAGGACAGCAATTCTTAGCCCTCATTAAAAGACTTCTCCATAAAATACTCCAAACAGTCACGAGAAACAGGAGACCTGTAATTTTGTGCTGCTGCCGATGGACAAATATATGAGTCTACACGTCTGCTGTGAACCAAAATTACAGTACGCTGCGCGCATCTGAGCTTGAGGTCTCGTGTAACACAAGAACGTTTCCTTCTAATGTGTTCACGTTTATAACTTTCTTAACCCCCATTTATCACAATTTCTATTATGGAGCCTTTTTAAAAGCACTCAGCTTCAGGGAGTTTCTTGGTAGGTGCCTCTGGGGACTCAGAAAAGCTAAATAAGATTTAAAGGGTGATTATAGAAAAGAGATTAGAAGCTCTGGTTGTGCAGAATTTCTTTAGAGTTTGTGGTAAATTAAATGTTTGAATTTGTGCTTTTATCTTGATTAATATCTACTTTTAATGCAGATAGTAATTTGATATATATAGATATATCTATATATATCAATCTAGCTATCTATCTAAGTTTCCCTTAAGTATAACTAAATGTGCTACAGGTAACCTTGGACATCTCCTGATTTCATTTAGTGTCATTATCATGTAATTCTTAATGTCAACTAATGCTTTTGCATTTACCTCGGAAGTCAAATGAGTTGGGAGTGGCATTACTTCTGAGTTGAGCTTGTTAGAGTAATAAGACTCAGAAAAGCAGAAAAAAGCAGGGTGAGTTTTCCTTCTTGGCAAGGTAGAACCATTCATATATCACTAGCAATACAGCACAATGTTTTTTTTGCACACAAATGTAGCATGTTCAAGGGTAGAACCTGGTCAGTGCATTGCATATAGCTTGTTTAGCGAGTCACAAATATGCAATACTGGCAATACTGATGAAAAGTTTGACAGTTTTGTGATGATTTACGTTCACAGCTGCCACTTTCGATTGTTAAGACGGGATTGCTGAGGTTACTCCGACTTTCCAAGTTGGAAATCCAACTTGAAGGGGGGTTTCAGTTGAAAAGCTTGACAAATAAAAGCAAGCCATGCAAATTTTATAGCTTAGTTGTGTTTTAGCCTTTCAGCACTGATATATTTATCAGTTTCTTTGGGCTAAACCATCAACTCTTGCATGTTAACAGGTTTAACCGTGCTTCACTGTGGTTTTACTGTCATAGTCTACATTATTTTCTCTTCATACAGCAAGTGGGTGCTGCAGCTCTGTTCTCTTAGAAAGGATGTGTTCTTAAAAAACAAAATTTTATGTAGATTTTAACATATGCGTAAAAATTAATTTCAAAAGAGTTTCACTTATGGCTGCTTGTCTGTATATTCCAAGGGTGTCAAGTACTACAGTTTGGTCAAACCTGCTCATGTCATAAATATGCACTTGGTTCATGGTACTAGTTGCTTAGTTTCTCATTCTTAAAGAATTCTTGTAAGAGACTCCTTAAAATGGCTACTGGTTAAGTGTAACTTTCGAGCATACAAGATTAATGTTTTAAAGTGGCAGATTTACACCCAGACCTTACTTTGCCTGGATGGTGGTGGAAAGCACCGGCTCAGACAAATCTCTCACTGTTGTCGAGCTGCATCAAGATGATTGCCATGAAGGCTGTAGCAAGCGAATGTTTTACATAATTTTCATACTTATCAAAACTTTCATTCACCTCCCATATTCTGGATGTGTCCACATTTATTACATCACTGCAATATTTTACTGAGATGTTTTGAGCCATCTACCCACTGAAGAAAAGAATTACACTGCATTGGAATGTAGCCTAAAATGAATGTGTGCTCTTGTGTGTATTTCTGGCATCATATTGGAAGAACTATCAGTTAAACAGGAGGAAAGATTATTGAGATTGAATGAAGTGGACAAAGTGGTGAGAAGAAAAAAGAACAGAGGGAAAATTAGGAATTTAAAAAAAGGTAATACGTGGACGAGGAAGCAAGGAAGGTAATTCGAGGTCAACACTTACACACAGCTTTCCATTTTCCAGCAGGCCTGTCAACGCTCTGCTGTGAGGCAAAACACCCTTGCAAGTTTTTCTCAGTTCCTTGTGTTCATATGGAGTCGTGTCATCTCAGGGTAGAGGAAAAATGACTTATATCGCCTCCACAGACACGCAGTGTCCAAGTTCATGTAACGTCAGAGGACCTGGCTGACTCATGAGGCCCATTTTGGAGTTTGTCATGTCTGCTTTGACCAGACATAAATAGAATCTGTGAATACATGAACCAGCTGTGGAAGAAAGCTTCTCCTGGAAAAATGAGCATGAGAAAATCATGCTCATTCTTCTTCTAACCTCTCCACGTCTTACCATCCTTGTCCATGACCTCTTGTTACCATGCTGTTATCTCCCTCTCCAAACCTAAATCCCATTCAACTAAACCACTTTTCTTTTTATTTCTTCACTTTGGTTTTTCCTTCTGTCGCTTCCACGGAGCCGCCTTCTCCCTGCAGTTTCCCTCTTTTTGCCAGAGCTTATTGGAGAGAACACTTTCTCTTCAGATGCCTGGGAGACAGATGATGGTGGTTGGGATTTGTGTTTTCCACTATTGGTCAGGCTATTCGGAAAGAGTCGTGCTGGGATGGCAAGTTAAATGTGCTGAAAAATGAGTCATGATTCCTGGGCTGCATGTGTAATTCTTGTTTTGCTATTGTAAAACATCTGAAATATATATATGGCCTGTTGCACTTATTTTGAACTGTCAGTGTTAGAAATGGGTCCGGGTGCGAAGAAAAGTTGCACCACTGATGGTTTAGACCTTTAAAAGTCAGTTCTTCCAAATAACATAAAAGCAGCATTTCCAAATGTGTATATAGTTTCAGCTCGTTCATCTCTGGGGTTTGGCTTCCACTTCCAACAATTGTGGTCAATTCAGTTTCACTTGTGACAGAAAAGTTGCAGCACCAGCTGAAAGAAAAATATCCTGGTTACTGAGAAAATACTTTATACAGAGAATCATAAATACATTATGTTGATCTTCTTTTTATTGACATAGCTGCAGAAAATTCCAGGGCCAAGTTACAAAGGTTTTTTTTTTTTTAATCTTGTCAATACTTTGGTTTGCATACACTTGTCAGAAAAAGAGTTGTAGCGAGTGATGGTTGATTAAATGGGTCCAGGATTCACTTACTGGGTTTTTAAAAGCTTACAGGCACACTAGACATGCACCATCAATGACTTCCACTCATGCTTTGATGCTTTTGGATGTGGTTAGACATGCAATGGTGTCATATAAGGCTATGATTAGGGGAATAAGATGGGTAACGCATGTAGTATGAGTGCATATCTCAGCCCTACAGATGCAATTAGATGTGTGTGTGTATATATATATATATGTAATTCTGATCATGATCTGAAGAGTAAAACCAAAACAAGAAAGAGGATTTGAATTCAAACAGAGAAATCAGGCAGAGAAAAGACAGAGAGTGAGGTCCCTTTGGTGTAGAATTTGCCTCTTGCTTCTCACTTTGACTTAATGACCCGTGATTCACAGATGAAGAATTATGCACAAGGCTGCATGGGACCAAAGGAGCACAGGACTCCAGCAGGGACAAAAACAAAAAGAAACCTCCAAAGGAACCAACTTGTCTACACCCCTCCACTAGCAGGGCTGTTTTCTCCTGTTTTTTCATCTCATCATTCCTCTCACACTCTCCAAAGGTCTCCTTTTTTGTGGTTACAACTGTAACATCAGTGGAGTTTGGGAGACTGTGTTGCACAAGAGGTCGAAGGGACGATTGTTCCTCCCTTTCCCTCTCTTCCATTGATCTTGTCGGCGCACAGATGGAGATTTTTTTTTTTTTTTGAAGTGTCCCTTTGAGATCTGCCAATGAGACCTCTAAAGCTGCACTTTAGACAGTTATTGCCTCGTCTTAAATGCTACAGAAACAACCCCCACTTAAGTCCTTGCACAGAAAAAGGACATACGGGCAGGTCCAGTGATGACCAAAACAACTTAAAATTGTCCTTTTTCAGATGGCTTTGATAATGGAGTAAGACTCTAAGTGAACCCTGAAATGATCAGTTATCAGCCTCGTCTTAATTTGAGGGTTTGCAGCCGTCTGCCCCATGCTCCTTTTTGAACATTGTGGTCATGTGCAGCCAAAGTAAACTCATCTGCTGTTCCAAGATCCAGATCTCTCCAATCAGGAAATTAAACCTGGCAGGGGGAGGTCAGGCAAGGGAAAATATGATCATAGGAAAGAATAGGAAAATCATTATGATGACTTTTTTTTTTTCTGGTTTCTGTGTGTTTCCATTTCCGCCTTTCTTTCATTTTTTTTCTCTTTCACTTTTATCTCTTTTTATCATGAATTTTTATCTAACATCTAAATCTTCATTTTTAGGGGGATTTCATGGGTTTCATGTTTTCTTTTTAAATTCTAATCCTATGAAAATAAATCCATGGGATCTAAAAATTCTTTGCCTTTGTATTGAAGTTTATATATTAGAGGTAGGAGTATTCACCCCTATGCTTTGACATCATGGTGCTGTTGTGACGATGAGTTTATTTCAAAGAATATTTCCAGACACATTTTACTATCCAGGCCTGGATCAGACAGACGCATGCGCACAATCAAGTGGAAAGTTAGAGTTAGAGAGACAATCGACTAATTAATGAATGTTTAGCAGAAGTTTTTTTTTGGATGTAGGATCCTCATGGCCCCTGGGTAATCTGGGTGTCCTCATCACATCACACTTGCTTGCAACAGATTGTGTGGCTATTTTTTTATATTACATAACATACATTATGTTGCATTTGACATTGCCAAAATTGTTTCCAGAAGACAAAACGACAGCTGTGGCACAGTTTTGTTTCAAGTGCAGTGCATATTTTTTAACTAGATGGTTACATGATTTTGACATCCCTCTTCAGAGTGACCTCCTAGTATAATGACCACTGTCTGCCTCTCATATTTTCCACTTACGCCTCTGCATTCAAAACTGTTAAGATGGATGTTCGGTAAATTCCTTGTCTTTGGTTTTCACCAAATACCAATTTAAATGGGCCACTTCAGACTGAACTCCTTTCAATAGGGTGTTTGTATGGTAGCCATCGCAACCAAACATTCTGGATACATGAAGGCTTTCAATTTCTGAAACGTGGAGGAATTGGCGGAGGAGGGGGGTGCAGGGTTCATCCTACGCAGTAGCGCTTGTCCATCTGCAGACACTCGGCGCCTTATAAGAGCGTCCTTGATAGCAACACCTCCATGGTTCATATCTGAAGCACTGGCTCAGCTCATACATTGATGTGCCAGCTGCCAGCCCAATGACCTCACCTCTTTAGACGTCAACCCTCCCCCATGTGGGGGTCAACAATGCATTCATGCACTCGCACTACTTCTGTTAATGGTTTTTATGTCTTTGCAGATGAATAGGAAAGTGAAGAAAAGCGCACACACACACACACACTGCTGTCCTTCAGTGTCATGTCTGGGTGTTACTGCTTTGGAGGTGGGATGTTTTCCCACTTGACGGCCAACGCTATAGCAACAAAAGCCAGATGAACCAAAGAATTCCCCTTGATTCTTTTATGTGACCGGAAAACTTCCTCTAGTTGAATGTGAAACTTGAAAGTTAAATAGCATTCCTAGTGAACCATTACTAATGCCGTTGGAAATGAATAGCACCAGTTTATCAGCTGGAAAGATAAGTTACACGCCCTTATTTTCACCAGGGTATTTTATTTTGGGTCTTTCAAAAAAAGAAAAATTGCTCTGTGCCCCTGCTTACCGTGTGCTTTCATAGAGGCTCATTCAGCAGTGCTATAAGTAATGTGTTTTATCATTGCTGTCAGACTGTAAGTCCTTTTACTTTTATGTAAGAATATGCAACTGGAGTCAATTACTGACAATCTAAACATGAGAGGGGTAAGCCTCAGATTCCAGTAATTCAGCTATCGCTACTTATGACAAATCCACAGCCCAAGATACAATGTGCTCTTCCAGTGATAGTTCAAACAGTGGATTTATGATATAATGATGATGACATTATCTTGGTATCAGTGGGAGGAAAGTAGCTTCATCCCATTAAAAATGTGAAAGCTGCCAACTATACATAAAAATCCACATATACATGCATGTTCATGCCCAGACTTTACCTTGAGTACTGTGAGTGTTTTGGCACAGAGGCATCTTGCACTGCTAATATTCAGTAACAGTTATGGGATTTTGCGTGATCCTAAAGCTGACATCTTTCCCATTTTACATCAGTTCTAAAACGATTAGAGCATACAGACTACTTTCATTTTTCTGGGTTCATTTTCAGACATTCACAAATACTTTATAGGTTCCTTGGGGGAAAAAATAAAAAGATGTCAGCAAAGAAAAATCCATACTCTCAGCAGAAATCATTGCTTCAGCTTGGGTGTCAGATGGCATTGGATTTATCTGAGACTCTCTTTTTTTTCTCTCTCTCATGGGTATTGTCTTTCAGATCAGGATCGGGAGACAGAGTGTGGTCACCAACAGTTAGTGAAGATGGCAAGACAAGCCCTTACATGGAGCCCGACTCACAGGTAACCACTGTTTACAGTGGATTTCCCCAAGCACAAGTCACATGCATTTCTTAAAATTTGAATTCACATGAGGTGGGATGCGGTCAGGTTTCTCGTTGAATTTGTCATGCTGCCAACCAGAGCGATGGCTATAACTGCATCATGACTTTGAAGTACAGTTTCCTGGGTGTGAGACGCAATTCTCCTCAGTGACAGAATCCATGGAAACAGGCACAACAATCAATCTTGAAATTGCATGTGTGCTATCATTCACATGATTATAAATGAGATAATGCATCCCACTGTTCACTGGAATAGTTTTGAAATAGTATCTTGATTGTTCTCCAAATGTATGAGCTGCCAAAAGGACATTCAAGGCATGATGAACTCTAGCAGATGATCTTTTCCAAGTTTTCCATTGCTGGCAGGCTAGCAGGTTTCTGAGCATGGAGGAAACAGGAGGTGTGTGAGTGTGTGCGCACATAAGCTGTGAGTATGGATATTGTGTGACTGAGGCAGACAGACAATGGGAATATTGTGCTTCGGATATGTGAGAGATGTCCATTCGTCAAGTATTGTGTTGTTGTAGTTAGTTGCGATTGATCTGTCTCAGCCCTCGTTGTGGCAGCATATCCGTGCTTAAAAGGGTGGGACAGGCATACAAAGAGCCGAAGTGAAATCTATCTGCCCCCTCATGATGGAGTGTCTCGTTTATTACAAAAAAGTGTTGTTTTTTTGGGTAAGAGCCAGTAGTTACGGATGCAATTTATCAGCTTGGGTTTTGGTTCTATTCTAATTTCTTTATCTAGGATTTTGATAGTTTATTGGAAATAGACTTTCCAAAAGGCTGGTTTGCTTGGTAAATCTAACCTAAAACCGAATTAAATAATTTCTCAGTTACATTTCCTAATGTGTTAAATGTTTTCGGTGAGTGACCGTTCTGGACTGCAGGCGGGCCAATGAAACGCCCAGACTGTTTTACTAATGAGCCACATTGTTGGAATACACCCAGAATTTGGTTTGGCATTCTCTTGCTCAAATAAGCAGTCTTTCCTTGAAGATGTTGCCTGAATGGCAGGGCATGTTGCCCTATGCCATATGTGCTTTCACAAATGTGATCATGCACCTCCATACCATCATGAATGAGGCTTTAGAACTGCACTGATACGCAAATTTTTCTAACATTTTAATTGTTGATTTTAATTTGTCACCAAAGAACAATTTTCCACTTTAATTCCATCCATCTTGAAAGATCTGAGATAAGGCAACTCAGAAGGTTTTATATGTATGGTGTTAGTCAGAACCTCCCTGACATCACGTTGGAGCGCACCCTCCTACTCAAAGTGTCATAGCTTTTAATCCAAACCATTATATTCAACTCAAGCAAGTAGTTTTAATGCCTTAAACTAACCAAATAAAAACTCCATACTGAATCAAAGCACTCCCATGCAGGATACAAAAGTTCAAAAAGAAAACTCCCACATGGAAAAATGATGCTGCAATACTTGATACTGCAAAGGAAAGAAGTCATCCAGCTGAATCAGAGCAAGTCATACTGGCTTCAGAAAAAGTTGGCTGATGTTTGAAAGCACAGCCTAATATGGTAAATGGTAAATGGACTGGTTCTTATATAGCGCTTTTCTACTCATCTGAGCACTCAAAGCGCTTTACACAACTTGTGCATTCACCCATTCACACAGCACATCTTTCTAAGTGCTTCATAGCTAACATTCACACACATTCATACTCCGATGGATGCATCGGAGAGCAATTTGGGGTTAGTATCTTGCCCAAGGATATTTGGCATGTAGACTAGGGGAAGCCAGGAATCGAACCACCAACCTTCCGATCAGTGGATGACCTGCTCTACCACCTGAGGCTTTAAGATGTCTTAGAAAAGCATTAGGTCCATATTGTCCTTGTGTCTACATTCTGTTATTTTGTATATCCGAAAAACTAACCTGAGATTGTGGCTTGTTGTACATTTAAATTCATAGACAGATCAAATTTCATGTTTTCAGCACCACAGGTAGAACTCTATGGCAACCTTTTAACAGTGTGGCTATTAGCTCAGGTCTTGCTATGATTAAAATAAGAAAATACGAAGTTGGAGTGAGAGGAACCAACAGCTACAGGAATTTCTACAAACACAGACATGCATGACAGGAGGGCTTTGCGTGAGGGTAATATGAGAGCGGCAAATCTGTCTTCCTCATGCTTTTTCTCTCTGTTTATCTCTTCTCTCCATCTCTCTTTACATCTTTTCCAGTCCTTCTTTTCTTCCTTACTGAAGTCTAAAAATGTTCTCTGGCATCTCATTTTATGAAGTAAACGCGGACAGCTGGAAACCTCCAAGTGAGGGCCACGTTATTGTCACGCTCAGGTGGAACCTTCTGTGCTTTACAAGAGGAAACATCCACTCCCTAGAGTCACATAAAGAACTCTTTCTTTGTTTCCTTCTTTCTGTATTCTGATTCAGTTTGCCCACGTGACATTGCTGATTGTTCACGAGATACTTTAGAAACTGTGTATATACCACGCTTTCTGTCCTGACAGATCCAGCTTCTGTGACGTGATGCTTGAGCTAGTGTGGACAGCAAGCTGAAAGTCACTGTTTCAGATTGTGTTGCTTAAGGCTTGAAGCAGTGAATCCATCATTCAAAACCTACCTTACAGCATGACACTTAACTTGCAGCATATTGTATGCTGAAGCAGTATGTTTTGGGGTGAGAAATGAAACCAAAGAAGAACACTTAGGCTCACATATTGTAATAAAAAAAAAAAAGAAAGAAAAATCGCCACATACCTCAGTTAACTAATAGTGCTTCTTTTGAAACATTCTAACTTTAACCCAGTTAAGTTCACCAAATCCAGTGATGGCATCCTTCAGGCCTTTTGAAATTGAACATTTTCCTTTTTATTCATGAACTCCTTGACCAACTGGCTTTGTTGGAAATTCCAGTCCCACCAGTGGGAATTTTCTGCTGAGCAGGAAGTGACACATGGAAGGAATGAAGTGTTTCCTTTCACCTTGGGAACACGGGAGATTGTCATAAAAGTCGGTGTGCAAATGATGTATTTTTGGATATGCGCTAAGCAAGCATATGACTTAATACTGTTGTATGATGGGGCTGTTTTGGGAATTTCGGAGGGTTTCTTTTACTAGTTTCAGTGGGACAGGGGAGTGTTTCCAGGGAGTGCTCATGTCTTTGCAAGAGTGTCTACAAACTACCGGATACCATACATAACTTCCTGAAATAGAAATGATTGTGATAAAGAGTGGAGAGAAAGATAAAGCAGTGATGAGGTAACTGTCATAACAGAAGAAATAACACGAGTAACTATGACAACCAGTTTTTACCTAAGCTTTTACTGTACAGTTCTGGGAAGGTTAGTGAACTATAATCAGATATTTGGCACAACTTCCAAATTTCATGCAAAACAAAAGGATTAATATAATAATCTGGATACAAATCAAGCTCCATACATGGAAAAAGTAATAAAAAATACCTTTTTAATTCATCTTCAAGGTGCCAGAAGAATCTCAGTCCTCCATGTCAAGGTAGTCTTAAGTGCTTTACAATATTTCACTTCTCATCCAAGAGGCTTCTTCAATTCTAAAAGCTAACCAAGTGCCAGATATTTTATACCCTATACCCTCACTATCAAAAGCCTAACAGCACTTTAGCCAAGATGTCTTATAGCATCTATTTTTCTTGTCAGAAACCCATAAATCTCTAATTAACATTATTTCCTGCCCCAGATCTTGATAGCCCAGAACCACTTTGATTATTTCTTCTTCATGTACAATATTGAGTACAAAAGTACTCAGGTACAGGGCACCAATTTAGCTCACTGTTTGAGCAGGCACCCATATGCCCTGTGGGTAAAATTGAGCACTTAGGTTTGAGTCCAGCCTCCTGTCTAGTCTTCACTCCTGAACTATTAAATAAAGACAAAAAAACCCCCACTATAAATCTAAAATAAATATTGCCACACATTGCAGCCAGAGGAGGTGCTCGACCATGGAAACCTGTACCATGAAGCTCCTGAAGCATGGTGTTGGTGCTGATGTTAATGCCAGAGGAGATTTTGAACCCTGCAGTTAATGAGTTAGCGGAGAGTTGGCGACTTTTATGCACCATCTGTCTCAGCACTTGGCGACCACGCTCTGTAACTTTATGTGGGCTGCCATTTCGTGGCTGAGTTGCTGTGGTTGCTAAATGCTTCCACTTTTCAATGGTACCATTTACAGCTGATCGTGAAATATCTAGGAGAGAAGAAATTTCACAAACTGGTTGCAATGATGGCATCCGCTTAAAATCAGCGACCTCTTAAGAACGACCCATATTTCACATGTGTTTGTACAGGCAGACTGCGTAGCTGGAGACTTTATTTTGTCCACCTGTGGCAATTGGACTAAAAACACCTGAATTCAGAGTAAACAGTCCATCCAATATCCAATGTATCTTCAGTAGTGCAGGTATTTATTGTCTGGCTCAAGCCCAGCTTTACTTTTAATCAAACTGAACTGAAGACAATTTGATTTGATGGCAAGTAAGATAATTAATGAAGCCAAATTTGATGTAAAAGCAATATAATAACAGATTTACATACAAAAATTCAATCACCTTTTCCAAAAGAAAAAATGCCTCTTGTAAATGGTTATCTAACCGTACGTCTGAATTTTAGCACTTGATTGTCAGTTTTACTGTTGGAATGGTTTAGTGGAGGAGTAATGCAATACCATGGGTTACTGACATTTTGGGTTTTCAAAATTCCATGCCTTAAATTACACAGTGGCAGCTTCAAGTAGGTGGGAATGGCTCGCACTCAATGTTCGTCTAACAGTATTATTTGGCAGGGCAGTATGTAAATGCCATTCATGGCAACTGGCCTATTATTATAGCGATGGCTATTGTGGCTGAGTGCTGTGGCCCTGTGGAAAGAATGAGGCTCCACAATGCGGAAGCTGAGAGGTCTGGATCACACGTCACTCGAGCTTCCAGTCTCAGCCCAGG